AAATAATCCTTTTGATTAAAAATTTTTATTTGATTAATTTTAAGGATAAAATTGTCTTATCAACCACTAAATCTCTTTAATTAATTTGATATTAAATGCAGTTGATTGGCACACCCCACATTTTTTATTGCATTTTATTATTATATTATTTTTTGCAACCTACATTACAATATCTTGTACCAGTTGAAACCATGCTAGAGTTATCCCTCCATTATATAACCCTATATAATACTCACAATTCCAATGCAAAACAATTGATGTGTAGCCATAAACATTACAACTTCTAACATAGAGAAATACAAATCTTTTCAACTTTCGGTATTTTCGAACAATACCATAAATATACGATTTTGTTTCTCTTCAAACCCTAAGCCATTATTTCTCCAATCTTCTACTTGATTATCCCTCTTTCTCCACCACTTCTATTGATGACGATAAAATGATTCAGAGTTTGCTTAACTAAAATGGTTCAGAGTTTCATTGAAGAGAGTTCTAAAACTGCATTTCTACTTGTGCTGAAATTTGTGTGTATGTATTTAAACAAACAATATGTTTTTTTTAGAATTTTCATAGAAAACCATATTAAAAAACAATTCATTAAATTAGTTTTAAAATGACAAGTTATAAACATAGATACTAACACATCTAAATCATTTTATTTAATATATATATATAATATATATATATATATATATATATATATATATATATAATATATATATCTATATATATATATTATATATATATATATATTATATATATATATATATATATATATATATATATATATATATATATATATATGTGTAATTACGTGAATGCAATAGATTGTAAAACAAATTTCAGAATAGACAAATAAAATTTTGCGGCGTGTAAGTGTAATATAAGAAATTTGTTACTCCGTATTAGAGATTCCCGTATAAATAATAATTTTTTATAAGAACTTTTAATGTTGAATATACAATTATTATTTTTTTCAAATTGTACCATGTCTTGAAAATATATCTACAAATAGAATGGAATCATCCCGAAAAAATGCTACCACAAGCCAGTCTTTTGTAGAACAAACTAATTAGTTAAACAAGCTAATTAGTTGCGAACATATCTACATTTACGAGTAGATGTTAACGTATCTATGCGATATCAGCTATATACTGTTTATTTTAATGTCTATTTTTTATTTCTCAATTTAAAAACTATAAATTTGTTAATCATAATGAAGGTCATTGCAGACATAGATCAATAGGTACATGCGAACCGTATCTATGAGATATTAATTGTCGATGTTGCTTGTTTATTTTAATCTTTGTCTTTTAAATATTTCCTTTATATCTCTTGGTCAAGTATAGTAATCTAAGAGTTCTTTTTATTTCTCAATTTAATAGCGGTAGATTGTTTATCATAATGAAGGTCTTGCAGACATGGATCTATGGGTAGATATGAACGTAACTATGAGATATCAGCTATAGAATACTCATTTTATATCCATGATTTTGAATCTTTTTTTTGTTATTATTTTGTATTAGGTTTATGTTTATGATATATCTAACTGTAAACAATCTGAAAAATGCTAATTCAAAAACTGATAATTGATTATAATTGTAATTATGTGAATGTTAACTAATAGAGTAAATAATTTTTTATTTATAAATGATAGTTTGATAGATGTGTAATGTGAATCCTTACTAGTTATATTACATAAAAAAGTTGAATATTAAAAAAAGCTAATTATTATACACCCGTAATTTCGTACAACACGTGTATCTAATTATAATTGTATCATATCAAATGAATATTTTATAAAAATATTTTACGAACAAATTTAAATATGATATTTAATTAAATAAATGTATGAAAAAGTTATTGTATATAAATTAATAAACATATTTTTTAAATTTTACAAAAATTTATTGAATGATATTATTAGGTAAAATAAATTAGATGATGAAAACAAAGGGCAATTCCCTATCCAAAAACAAAGGGTAATTCCGTCAGATTCAAATAAAACAACTTCTACTATATAAAACCTCGTAACCCTTCTTTTTCTATTACTACTGCTACTATTCTCATTCTCTTCCTTGCAGCTAGGGTTTTACGCAACTTTCTCCCTCAAGGTAAATCACTCCTATTTCGCTTCTATTCGATCTATTTTTATCATCCATGTCGTCCGATTTATGATTCGTTCGCACCAATTTTTTGTACACATGTGATTACGTAGGATCACTGTAAATTGTTTATGTTGTTTTGCTTTCCTGTTTTTTTTTTTTTTTTTTTGTGTTCGATTTGTTATTCGATTATGATGATCATATTAATTCTGAATCCATGCAATGTGATAATCGTGTATGTTTTTGAATCGGTAATTTTGATTTGTTATGACGCTATTACGTTTTGGATAAAGGAGTGTTTTTTTCTTCTGTTGAACATCGATGCATATAATATAAACATAGTAGACGTACGTACTAGGATCTATCTAGTATATGAATCTGAATGATGGATATTTTGAATTCTGTGAATGTTATTGTTTCATGATTATGTTGTGCCGTTTTGATGTACTGAAACACTCCCCTTCATGGCTGTTTTATTGTTAACGTAGAATTGTTCATTTTTTTAATTTGTCATATAGCTGTTTGTTGGTAGTATTTATTTATTTTATTGTTGAATACTGAGGTTTATTTTACTTATGAATTGTTTTTTGTGATGAACAGATCTCTTGTGATCTCAAGCTTTAGGACTAATGGGAAAAGAAAAAGGTTCACATCAACATTGTTGTCATTGGACATGTCGACTCTGGTAAGTCGACAACCACTGGTCACTTGATCTACAAGCTTGTGGTATTGACAAGCGTGTCATTGAGAGGTTTGAGAAAGAAGCTGCTGAGATGAACAAGCGTTCATTCAAGTATGCCTGGGTTCTTGACAAGCTCAAGGCTGAGCGTGAAAGGGGTATCACTATTGACATTGCTCTCTGGAAGTTTGAGACTACCAAGTACTACTGCACTGTCATGATGCCCCCGGACACAGGGATTTCATTAAGAACATGATTACTGGTACCTCCCAGGCTGACTGTGCTGTTCTCATTATTGATTCCACCACTGGTGGTTTTGAAGCTGGGATTTCCAAGGATGGACAGACCCGTGAGCATGCTTTACCTTGCTTTCACTCTTGGTGTCAAGCAAATGATCTGTTGCTGTAACAAGGTAATTTAGATTTTCACCCTCTTTTGCATTTGATATTTTCATGAATCATTTATACAGTTGCTCATTATTTTTTATATTGTGCAGATGGATGCCACTACACCCAAGTACTCGAAGGCTAGGTATGAGGAAATTGTGAAGGAGGTTTCTTCATATCTGAAGAAGGTTGGCTATAATCCTGACAAAGTTCCATTTGTTCCCATCTCTGGTTTTGAGGGAGATAACATGATTGAGGCGCTCTACAAATCTTGGACTGGTACAAGGGTCCAACCCTTCTTGAGGCCCTTGACAATATCAACGAGCCCAAGAGGCCATCAGACAAGCCCCTCCGTTACCCCTTCAGGATGTCTACAAGATTGGAGGAATTGGGAACTGTGCCTGTGGGGCGTGTTGAGACCGGTGTCATCAAACCTGGAATGGTGGTCACTTTTGCTCCAACTGGGACTATCAACTGAAGTTAAGTCTGTTGAGATGCACCATGAAGCTCTCACGGAGGCCCTTCCTGGTGATAATGTTGGGTTCAATGTTAAGAATGTTGCTGTTAAGGATCTCAAGCGTGGTTTTGTTGCCTCTAACTCCAAGGATGACCCAGCCAAGGAGGCTGCTAACTTTACCTCTCAAGTGATCATCATGAATCACCCTGGTCAGATTGGAAATGGCTATGCCCCTGTTCTTGACTGCCTACCTCACACATTGCTGTAAAGTTTGCTGAGCTTGTTACCAAGATTGACAGGCGTTCTGGTAAAGAGATTGAGAAGGAGCCCAAATTTCTAAAGAATGGAGATGCTGGTATTATTAAGATGATTCCCACCAAGCCCATGGTGGTTGAGACCTTCTCCGAATATCCTCCACTTGGTCGTTTTGCTGTGAGAAGACATGCGTCAAACCGTGGCCGTTGGAGTCATCAAGGCTGTGGAGAAGAAGGAACCCAGTGGAGGACCTAAGGGTCACCAGTCAGCCTTGAAGAAGAAGTGAACCGTGCAGGATGACCTAACCAGGGGAGGCAATAATAAGTGGTTCCTGGTTCCTAGTATTTTCATTTCTGGTTTAGTTAAATTGTTTTTTGGATTAAGTGTGAAGTCTTCACCGTCATCTCGCAGCTGTTGTTCTCAGAACTGGTTCTAGATCGACGGTGCAGGGCTTTTTTCGTTTTCATGTTTATGCTTTAACAATTTGTGTCTTGCGTGAAGTAACACTTGGATTTTATAAGCAGCTATGGTCTGCTTATTTTCGTATCAAATACATGTTATATTTTGTTTAGTCTCTGGTGATGTTTTTATGTTGGGCAATTTATCCCCAAGTTAATTTTTCTCCAGCATAGAGTCTAAACGCATGGTGTTTAGACATTGTTGATTTATTTATGTCATAGGGAGTGAAAACTAGCAACAATGGTAGTAAGGGGGCTGTTGCTGCATTCCACTACATGGTTCACGGTCCCTCCCTATTGAGGTAGTAGTAACACAGTTGCTACTATTTGTTTTATTGATGTTTCTATATTGTATTGATGTTAGGACCCCTGCGTGCGATAAAAAAAAAACCTTGTGTGGACACCATAAATGGGTTGTCCATTTAAAATATGATTCTGGATGATAATTAGGTAAAATATGAAGTTAATACAAAACAAGAATTTAAATCTAGTATTTATTATAAATAAATAAATGCTCACCAGAATCGAATATTCTATTAGGGCTTATATGATGGTGTTTGTAGGGAGAATTAATTTTGTGGACACATTTTTTGATGAAATCCTACCCAAACCGAAACCAACCTATTAATTACCCAGACCCGTTTGCAGTGCATTTTATATATAGTAATACTCCAGCCTTAACATACAATAATTTTTGTAATTGAGTATACATTAATATATTACTATTAGTAAACTAACTAGCACCATAACTATTAATCCTATTTCTAAAACTCAGGAATCTTGAATATAGATCATATTTCTAAAACTCAGGGAATCTTGTAAAGCAACGCAAACTACTAATCCAACTTGTTACAATTTAAATAAAAACTAAAATAAAATTTACTTATTGTATTTTTTAAAACAAATATTTAAAATCCATTTAATCAAGTCAAACAAAATAAAAGTATATGTGATTTAAATAATATTTTTTCTAAGAGGTTTTTCTGATTCATATACATTAAACGATCATATTCATTCATTCCATTAAATTTGACATATATTGTCGCATTGCCAGTTGAATATTTTTAAAACTTTGATAAAAATATGAGTAACCTTTTATATTATGTATTTTTAAAAGTACTATTTAGATTAAAAAAAAATACTGCTCAATATGTAGATTTAAATGTTGCTGTTTGAATTTAAATATAAATTTTATAGTTGTTTTAATAATAATTTATGTTAAAAATTGTTTTTATAGAAAATAGAAGTGGAACAAGCACAAATTGTCAATGAACTTGAACAAGGGCAAGAAATTCAACAAATACAAGGAGAAGGGTTGTCATCATTGCCACCAAGTGCACTAACAGAGGCAAACAAAAGAAAACCCTCTAGAAAACCTTTAATGTTTGGAAATTTTTTGTTGCTAGAGATTGTTTAAGATTATACTGTTGATAATGCAAGTGCTAACAATTTGGCAATTGAGTATTAAAACTGTTGCATTTTTGACTAATCTTTGTATTGAGTCGTAAGGATATCTTAATCGAGCTGATTGGGAACGAGCCCGTATTTTTGTGAATTTTTTGAAAACTTTTTATGACGACGCCACACTTTCTTTTTCTGGTTCATTGTATGTTATTGCCAACTCTTTTTTCAAATTGTTGATGGATATTCAAAAAAGGTTGAATAAATGGAGGCACAATGTTAGTGACCAATTTTGAAAACCATGACTGGAAATATGTAATTAAAGTTCAACAAGTATTGGGAAAGTAGTGCAATAAATTATCTTCTCTTTGTTGCTAATTATCAAATCTCCTAAGGTATTTGTTAGTGTTGTTTTTGTTTTCTATTATTTGCTAATAGACTTTTGGATGTTGTTGTCCCTAAACGTTCTACTGTTGTTGTTGAACTTTCTACTTCTGTTGTTGGTTGTTAGCTGGAACCTTTTACTGCTGTTGCTGGAACCTTTTACAGCTGTTGTTGCTGGATCCTTTTATTGCTGCTGTTGTTGCTGGATCCTTTCACAGCTGTTACTGAAATCTTTTACAGCTGCTGTTGCTGGATCCTTTCATTGTTGCTGTTGCTAGAACCTTTAACTGTTGTTGCTGGATTTTTTGTTTGATGCTATTGTTAACTTTTTCTATGATGCCTTTTGAATTTTACATTTTGGTGCTATTATACCAATATTGGATTAATATATTTATGTTATTTTAAGACTAAGTGGTGTTTTTTGAATAATTTAGAATTTATGAATTTTATGGAACTGGTATTTTATGAACTTTTCTATATATATGAATCAATTTTTATTAGATATTATTCGATGATTTTCATAATTTAATTGTTAGAAATATGTAAAATTATATTGAAATGTGTTATAGGTTTTTTAAATTGAAAAAATATATTTATTTTATATATAATCCGTGAACTCAATTCAATATATGAATGAAAGGGTCGGTTTTTACAATAAAATTATGGATTTGATGATGAATCCAACTCATTAAAAGTTGAACGGATTGGGTAATGAGATAAGGCAAATTCGATTCAACCTAACCCGCGTACACCCCTAGTCTATATAGGGTATAGGGTTTGTTTTAGTTGGTTTGACATTTTACTTGTTTGATAGGTGCATAATGCAGTTTAATTCTATAAAAGCTATATCATGTCATATGATATTTATAAGTTTAGTCTAACAATTTGATATATTTCTGTTCTCAATCATTTTTTTTTGGAGAGCTCTATTAATAAAATATCTCGTTTTTAAGGATATTTTCAAGAACCTCATAGCAACAAATGAGAGGTTTTACACCGCGAAATCATTTTAAAAGACTAATTTCAATAACTAAATAGAGATTTTAACATGATAATCTCAAGAATCAAATAAATAATTAAACAAGAGAATCATACTCTTGATGAATAACATTTAAGCACGAACACAAAAACATTCAAAACTCTCACACATATTTTTCAGTTGCAAGACACTAAAACAACCTTAGTGAAAGAATAGAAAAGAAATAGAAAGTTAGAAAGAAGATATTCAAAATAAATTTTGGTGTATTTTACAATGAAGAGATACTTTTTATTTATAGGAGAAAACTATGTTTCAAAAAACAATGATATATCGGCTTTTTAATGCATTTAATTGATTATGACCCATGGTTAATAAATTAAATAGGTCAAATATAAAAGGTTTTCAAATTCACCATCACTAACTGATTATAAGCTTACTTAAACGATTATTCGGCGTTACAAAAAAGTTAATCAATTAACTCTAGTATGTTGATCCATTTTCTAGTGTAAAAATCACTCTTATAGGTCTAACCAAGTTAGTAATCAACTGCATACATGCGTAAGAAAAATTTCACACGATTTTATAAAATGAGAGTCTTTTAAAAAAATTTAGTGTGTCTGAGAAAGTTGTCTTAGTATCTTAGAAGATACTCTTATATTTTTATAATACACTAATCCTACAAACACAAGATCAAACAAACTCTCACAACCTTGAAACTTCAAGATCATTTGCTTGATTCATGGTTCAACATTTTATACGAGACTTGACTTCTAACTTATAAGGCTTGATATAGCTTATTTGATGGTGTTAGCCTGAGTTTTTTAGCTTAGCGTTTCGATATGAATGTGTGATATAATATATATAAAAATGCTAAATATAGATAACCAAGTCATGTTTTTGACATCAAGTCATAAACTTGATATGCTAACCTTTTCGACATATGTGATGAGTTTGACTTACCTATGAAATAAGGTATTTGGGACTTAGTATATTTTTTGAGTCTACAAATTGGATGACTTTAAGAAGTTTTCAACAACAGTGGTGGTTTGAAGCGGTTCAGGTGCCGAGAACACGTGAAAACAAATCAGAAGATGAAAGTATATGAAGCAGTATACATGTCAAATGTTAAAGACAAAGACCCATGTAACAATATACGTGTCGTATTTTTAAGAGTTAGCTGTTGTTGGGAGTTATTAATATACCTAGCATATAAGCAAATTTTGACCATGTAGTCAGGGTTTATAATTCACGTTGTTCTCTTTAGAATTCATACATCTGATTTACTGAGATAATGAGTTTGGGAGATATGTATGAACTTGCGTTCCATTTTTAATTTAAGCGTTTTAATTGCTTTATTATAGTTTACTTATTTACTTGCTTTGTTAATTTAAGCACTTTTACTTTATTTCGTTTGTTATTTACATTAGGAAGCCTTTCAACACTATTACATTTTCTCGAACATTTTACACAAAGTGGTCTTTAGGATTTCAAAGTTTGACCCTACAAGTGAACTAAAGCTTATGATTGTTTATTAAAAACATTATTAAACAAATTGACACACCCGGTGAGATATTTTTATGCAAAAATTAAACTTTTGCAGAGAGTGTATGTGCTTTTATTCTTGTTTTACGTTCTTCACACATTCAAATGTTTTCAATGTTGAGTGTTTATGCGTATGAGGAGTGGAAAGTTTGTTATTATGTCTCACCAATGACCAAATGTTCATCTCCTTAAGAGTTCATCCTCTATAGAACGACACTCAAATGCAGACGAACAATCAATCGAAATGAAGATTAGTGGTGCAAGCATTTCAAAGACCGTTGGAGTAACAACTCCAGCCATGAATCAAACGTTAGTTTCAACTATGACACCAAAGATGGTGATACCCTCTCCTATTACTTCCATGGTTACACAAACCATTATAAGAGGCACTAGGCATCCATTATTTCCAATATTCGCACTTCCCATGGGTGGTAGGGAGTATCCATATGACATGTAAACTAAATTGATGGTAGGCCTACAAACTAACACATCCATGTATGTAGATAATGTGATGGTTGTTGC